TCGTTTTCAGGTTATGTTTTTCGGACTCCGAGTTTCTTTTCGATAGCTCTGTGGAAATTGGGAACAATTTCGTAAGGCAGCCATACCGCAGACCATTTTATATATTTACAGAACATATAAGCCATGTAATATTGACCATCACATTTGGTTGGATACAAAGAACATGTATTTTTCCAGTTATTTCGTATGAAGAAACATTTCATAAACTTTTGAAAACAGTAATAGAAATTGATACTGCATCTTTGATTATGCCATTGAACAAAATAATTGCCGTTTGCAGATCTGTAAGGACTGTATAATCGACCTAAATAATTAAAATTTGAACGTTTTCCTCGTTTCCCATTCCATTTTCGTTTTCTCTTTTGTGTGGTTTGGGTATGTATCTTTACTTTAACCTCACTTTCGCTATATAACAATAACTGCTAGTAACTCACCACTAGACACCGGTAAGAAAATCAGTTCCCATTTTATAGATACTGACATAAGAGTAGCTTATTCTTGTATTCCCCTATTCCTGCTATTACGCGAAAATGCACCGGTAGCTAATTTCTTGTTACCGTTGATCAAACGGGAACTCGCGAAGAATTCCTATTATGTTGTTGTATAAACAAGGATACTATGAAAAGACAAATTTTTTCGCTAAATAGAACAGAATTAGACTCAACCCCTTAGTCTAACGAAAAACATACTTTTCGCTCTTTTAAGTTATAAAAATGCCAGAGATTTTTGTTTTGTTTATTTACAATTAACCGCTTATAAAAAAATTCTTCCGCTTGACGGTAAAAGTATTTTATCCAAATCTTGATTCATCAACTGTCGGAGCGTTTTTTTGCTTTAAGTCGCTTGTAAGCGCCTATAACTTCTTTCTGTTGCGTATCAAGCTGCCTTCGAACAGCATTTGGCAAGTCCTTTCTTTTCCCTTTCTTATCGATGGTTTTCTTGGTCACTTTTTGCAGTTTTTCTTTTTCTTTTACTGGTTGCCTTTTGGATTCCTCGGCAGATTTTAATACAATGGCAGATAATAGTAGTTTTTTCCCTCCAGGCTGCAACAATTTGAATTTGATGAGAAATTAAATTCCATCTTTTTGATATACTTACTCGTGGTGTAACTTTCCCAACCTTTTTAGGTAGCGTCAACGTTGGAGGAGCGTGGGCGATTTCGCCAAATTTGACTGTATCCTTTACAGGCTCAAATTCATCGGCACTTTTCAGTCTCTTCTGCAGTTTCTTTTCCTTCTTTTTCTTTTCCCACTTTTGAGATTTTGTGAGCTTGGGAGAATCACTTTCAACGTTTTTCTTCTTAGTCTTCTTCTTTGCTTTCTCTTTTTTTACCTTCTTAATTAACAGCTCTAATTCGTCTTTTTCCCTTTTTACGACTTTAACCTAAATCAATTAAAGTAAATTAATTTCATAATTATATTATGAATTACATCTGAAGTACCTCACCCGCAGCGTCCCTTTTTATTTCTACTCCGTATTTATCTGCAAATGCTGCTTCTCTCCTTACGTTCTCGCATATTTTGTTGACACGAAATAAAAATGTTCTATCAGATTCATTTGGCTGCTGTTGGAACAGTGGATCTACTAACTTTTTTTCCTTCGGCTTTGATTCATTTTCCTCAGATTCTTTGATGGTTTTTAGTTTCTTTTTTATGGAAAAATCGCCACTTTTTGTTTTGTTCTTCAGGTTAATTATTCTTTGGAGACTTTTAGATACTTCTTGAACATCTGGATCTGTTGGTGGAGCATTAATTTTGTCCTTGACACTAAAAACCAATTAATGTCGAGATTCTCTTCAATGCAGATATCTTGTAAAAGATATACCAAAACCTCTTAATAATAAATACCTGATGAGTCTTGCAGCTGCCTGTTGCTCTGGATCTTTTACACCACGATGTTTTCTTCCTGGAATTTTTCTACCCATTTTGTCAAAATCTAAATTGAAAATTGAAATGAAATTTTTAATTTTTATTTTTAGATTTAGGTTATCTTCATCTTCTTTTTGCACAATATCTACCATAGAAAATTTAACTAAGATAACTACCACCCATAGAAATGACAATAGAGAATTAGTAACTCCATAAATAATTTTCTACTAGAGCCATCTATTGATCTCGTGGAGTGAAATTATGTGTTTAATGTCACGAATATATTACTTTCTTTTTGTAACATAGACGGTCAATTTAAAATTAGCAATACTGAATTTTATTCTTTATTTCACTTTAGTATGGATGCTAGAAAAAGATAAAAAATTTAACAAAGAAGATTTCCAACCATGGCGCCATCTATAAATTTCTGTATACATAAATGCTAAAAAAAAAATTAGGAGGCCGTTAGATGGCGGTAATTTGTAAATTCCTATTAAATAAAACGTTCGTATTTGTTTTCTCTATGTATCTATTTTCATATTACCACATTAAACTTCTTTGCTCCCATTTGCTTTAATATTTATGATAATATCTATTGTACAAAAAAGGCGTTACAACTATAACGAGTCCATTTGCAAAATAGGAATAATGGACTGTCACAATGTAGACGAAGAAGACGAGATCTCTTTGAAATGTTGACAACATAACCTAGAAATTAGAAATGTAATAACCTATAAATATATAGAACGTGGAAATTGTGTTTCCTATAAGAAGTTGTAAAAAAATATTAATAAAGTGCCATAAAAAATGAAGAAAAAATTGAATACTGATGTTCAAGAGAGTCCACCTCAGAAAAAAACTAAATTAAGTAAAGCAGCACCTGATGGTGAAGAAAAAGCTGTGCAAAAACAAAATAAGCCGTTAAGCAAAACATCAAAATTTACCAAAACTAACAAGGGAGATCCTACGAATATCAAAGAAGCTAAGTTAAAAACCTTTTCTGCAAACAGTAAAGAAAAAGTCAATAAACAAGGTCAAAAACCGGAGAAGGTGGAAGATTGGTCCGAATTCAAGAAGAAAAAGAAAGAACTAAAACTGAAACGCAAGCAAACAAAAAACAGTTTTGATGTTATTGTTAGAGCTAAAAAGATAGGGGAAGACTTGAGAAGGAAATCGTTAAAAGGAGGAGAAGAAAAACGAACTCAACTCATAAATGAATTGCACAATATTCTGAAAGGCAAGGAACATTATGCTAAGTTCGTTTTGGCACATGACACTGCGAGATTGGTGCAATGGTTACTGAAGTATGCATCCGATATTGTAATACAGCAAATCTCAAAGGTAGTATCGTAATAATATACTTCGAGTTTTTACAAAGCAATTGTATTTTCTAGGAACTGATACCCGTTACTGTGGAAATGCTACAATCGAAATATGGTATCTACTGCGTAAAACGTTTACTGAAATACGGAAGCAACGAGACTAGATCACAAGTCATAGATGCTATGTACGGTCATGCCGTGAAACTAGCAAGCCACGCCGTTAGCGCACCAGTAGTAGAATACGCCTTCTCGACATGGGCAAGTCCAATACAGAAGCAGAACCTCATCCAAGAATTCTACGGTGACTTGTACAAAAATTCGAAGGACGCTAATGTTAAACACCTTCGGGACACCTACAAAGACAACGAGAGCTTGAAAATGGGAACTTTGGGGGCGACTAAAGCAAATTTAATGAGGATTTTGAACAAAACGCTGTTAGATTCGGGATTGGTGCAGTCAGTGTTGTGTCAGTTTTTAACGGAATGTTCGGACGACGACAGGAAAGAACTGATTATGCAGTTGGCACCCCATATCGTTGTTATTAGTAATAGTAAGGATGGAGCTAGGGCTGCCATGCAGTGTATTTGGCACGGTACAAATAAAGACAGAAAGGTATGTATTGTTTCCATCGAGTAATTTTACGTAATCGATTAAAACTTTCGTTCCTTTTAGGTTATTATGAAAAGTTTAAAAGAGCATCTAGTTGAATTATCGAAACATGAACATGGTCATTGCACAATCATCGCTCTCTTAGATTCGGCCGATGATACCGTCTTGTTGCAGAAAGTTATACTTACAGAAATATTGAAGAACGCTAAAGACTTGGCAGTTAGCGAGTGGGGTAGAAAGGTACGATAAAACATTGTTTGCTTTTTAAATAAAGTTATTGTGAGAAATAATTACTCTGTGAGCTACATGCGCTGTTCTGTGTTGAAGTACAGTCCCGGTATTTATCAAGTAGTTAAAATCATTTGTCAACAGTATCACCAAATATAAACGGATTTAATCCGTTTTAACTTATTCTAATCATTCACCTAAAAAGTATGTCAAAATATTCAAAATTGACAAATTTCAATTGTCACTACAAACAGTGCCTACTAGGACAAAGAGTTACTTTGTACCTAATGTTGGTTCTCCGTGCCTACTGGTACAAAGCGTTCTTTATCTTCTTTTACTAGTTGGTTCTAATTGCACATTTGTCAATCATTGTGCCGTCTTTGTGTATAATGTATACTTGTAGGTTATGTCTGACACAGTGACCTACGTCAGTATATACATATTAATGTTGTGTGCCAGTAGGCATTGACATTTAACAAATGACATGATTTGTAGGTTACATTTCATAGAGTGACCTACGCCAAAATTAAAGCCTTGTGCCACACTCAAAAGTTGTTTTTATCTAAAAGCAAAATTTTTTCAGGTTCTTCTTTGGTTGGTAGCTCCTGCTGATTCCACGAAATTTCACCCTGTGTTCATTAAGGAGTTGAACCAAGGACGGGAATTGTCGACTTGTAAGAAATCACCAGACGTCAGACGAAAGGAAATATTAGGGTACGCTATATCTACTTTATTAGATCTAGTAACGAACGATGCCGAGTTTTGGCTGTCAAATGCATCGTTGGCCACGGAAATGAGCGCTATTGTTAAAGCGGGTACGTATTTAACCAATTTTATAATTAACGTATTTTTTACAAGTATATAATTCGGCAGGTAGCGGGGCCGATCTAGAAAAAGCATATAACAGCATCGTGGACGTAATAACAAATTTGGAGTGGAAAATAAAAGAGAAAGAAAACGATATCTTTGGTGTAGAACATTCTGGGTTACACATGACTTTAAAGAAACTGGCACAACATGATAAAGTGAACGTAGAGAATGGAAATTCAACCTTCGGTGGTGTATTAGCCGGAAAGTTGAACGACGAAGTGGTAAGTTTCGAGAATTGTTAGTGTTTAGTGATGTAGTATTCGTTTTTTTAGTTAACGACTTGGATAGAATTAAATAGAGGATGTTTTCTTCTGGTCGCGGTCTTCGAAAATGGTTCCGAGGAAACGAAAACTGTTTTGAAGGATAAATTAAAAAAATATGTCAAGAAGTTGAAAGATCTAAGTAGTAGCGGAGCCAAAGTTCTACTCAAAAAGTTGGAATAAAGAGTTAATTTAAGGTTCTATATGTTATAATAAACAGTTAATACAAATGTAATTTTTGATTTATGTATTTTTTCTTATGAATATACAGTGTGTCCGAGATAAGGACGGGATAGCATTAAGATCTAGAAAACGGTGAGATACGGGATGGCTCAAATTAGAAAAAAGTAGTTTTTTTTATACCTAACAATGTACCGTTTAGAAACCTTGAAAATTCCGGGTAGTTCCAGAGATATCTGGCAAAACCTGAAATTTTGCAAAATCGTTTTATTTTTTTCTGACTTTATTTGAAGACAAATTTTAAAATAAATTGCATATTTACATTGCCGCTTTTTTCGCTCTATCCAATGGCGACAACATTTTTGCAATCCGACGTTTCGTCTTCGAAAGGCCATCATCAGGTTAATTTTTTTAAATGCGTCGCTGCTATCTTTGTAACAAAATCTGAAGTTATCTTTAATTCTGGCTTAGATGATATAACTATTGTAATCGCCAAAAAAAAGTTTTTTAGCTTGTTTTAGCTATCATTTAAAATTTTTCCCGAGTCTGTTGGAGGAACTCAGTCAGTATCTGTTTTAAAAGTAGGTGGTATGGATGTTTCATATAGTAACGCTAATTTTTGTTGGAAATAGTTCTAAATATTATGTAAAATGATAATTACGCTCGCTGAAAAAGTTGTGCATAATTGTAAGTGTAAGAAAATGTAAATAAAAAATTAAAAAAGGCGCATTTATCTCCCATCTTTCATATATAACTCGGAGAATATACATTAAAGAAAATAGTCAAAGGAAAAAAAGTTTCGTTTTGAGATTCTCTTGAAAATAAAAGTGGTCCGAAATTTTTATGTGCATTATTGTTGCTGCAAAACGGTATAGACTGAAAAAAAATTCATGAAAAAAGATGTTTTTTCATGAATTTATTTCGGACCTTGACTAGAGCAGCCATATAGCATTGCAGAAATTTTTTTTATCGAAATCGGCCGGGTAGATTTCGTACAATTCAATTGTTAATTAAAATACAGAATTATACTTATTTTTCAATTCTCTCTCACGGTAAAACCAATTATTATTTTGAGCTCGCAATTTTTATACTTACCCTTTGAAATCTCAACTATCAATCCCCATTTCGAAATTTTCGATTTTATCCATTTTAGCAACAATTAGAATTTTTTCAAAATTTCTTCGAAAAAATACTTGTAAACATTTAGAACTGGAGTTACCGTATTTGCATATTCTTCAAATGTAATTATAGGATCAAATAGAGGAAGGATTGACGAACAAAATCCACTTTTGATCTTGTGAATACGATGAATCATCATCGAGATATGAAAGCTCAATATTGAAGTGAGTTTACAGCAAAACAACGTACTGTACAATAACAATCAAAAATGATTTTGATTGTTTAAAGCAAAGACTATAACTATGAACATTTGTTTAAATCGGAAATAAATTTCAACTGTTCTGATTCAAAAAAGATTGATACATTTCACAGGAATCGAGCAGAGTCAAAGAGTGTGGAGTGGGGGGACTATATGAGCAGAACAGGATAATTTGCTCGCGTAACTTCAATCGACTTTTTCTGAGCTTCTACAACAGATAAATAGATGATTTTTTTTTAATCTTTCAATTTAAATTTATATGCAAAATAAATAATAAAGTAGATAATATACAAAAAATTGATTGAAATTGCGTGAGTGAATTATGCTTCTCCGCTCTTTGACTCTGCTCGATTTCTATGAAATGTATCAATCATTTTGCATCAGAACAGTTAAAATACATTTCCGATTTAAACAAATTTCCATAGTTATAAAGTCTTTGCTTCAAACAATCAAAATCACTTTTGATTGTTATTGTACAATAAGTTGTTTTGCCGTAAACTCACTTCAACTTTGTACTTTCATGTCTCGATGACAATTCATTGTATCCACAAAATCAAAAGTGGATTTTGTTCGTCAATCCTTCCTCTATTTGATCCTATTAATTACATTTGAATAATACGCAAATACGGTAACTCCAGCTCTAAATGTTTATAAGTATTTTTTCAGAAATTTTGAAAAAATTCTAATTGCTGCTAAAATGGATAAAATCGAAAATTTCGAAATGGGGATTGATAGTTGAGATTTCAAAGGGTAAGTATAAAAATTGCGAGCTCAAAATAATCATTGGTTTTACCGTAAGAGAGAATTGAATAATAAGTATAATTCTGTATTTTAATTAACAATTGATTTTTGCAAAATCGACCTGGCTGATTTTGATGAAAAAATGTCTGCAATACTACCATGTCTTGAAGTACTCAAAACCATACTTTTTATATGGCTGCTCTAAAGTCAAGGTCCGAAATAAATTCATGAAAAAAACATCTTTTTTCACAATTTTTTTTCCGGCCAAAACGGAATGCAACAAAAAAGGAAAAAAAAAATTCCGAACAACTTTAATTTGAAAAAAAACCCAAAAACAAAACTTTTTTCGTTGCCTATATTCTCCGAGAGAAAAATGCGTTTTTATAATTTTTTTTTACATTTTCTTTCGCTACAATTATGCACAACTTTTTCAGCGGGCGCATATTGCAGTTTTCATTTTACTTAATATTTAGAACTATTTCCAAAAAAAATTAGCATTACTACATAAAACGTCCATCCCGAAACAGATACTGGACTAACAGTACAGTTTTTTTAGTCAATACTTTAAAAAAGTTGTACCTAATAAAAAAATTATGCGAATTTAGGAAATGTTTTTTATTTCTAACTAGTATTGCTAATAGAGTAAAAAAAAATTAATTGAACTTATTTGCAATTTGCTAACTTAGCGTCACTTCTCTCAAGTTACATTTTCCTCATCATAAAGTGCAATAAAACTACTAATAATTTTTTCAAGTCTCGACTGGAGCATGTGTCGTAAGTTTATTTTCTTAAATTCCATCATAAAAACCGATTTTTCTCTTTTTCATAATTTTGTTACAAAATTATTTTCCGTTGCAGTTTTGCTCTTCGCCACTCCCTTAGTTTCATAATGTTCATTTTAAAAGATAACAGGCAACACTGATAAGCGCGTTGATACAACAGATCCGGGTGCTGCCCAGTGACGGCGTAGACAAGAATTTAAGTGCGGCTTAAAAAACTAAATATAACTCGACGGGAATTTCAGATTAGTATTCTGGGGAACACGTACCCCTAAATAAACGACTCCCCACTTAAAGTAGCCACAATTTTTTAATCAGTGTGCCGTAACGGAAAATAAATCAAAGCGTAAACATTCAATGTTAACATTTATTTGGTAACTCAAATATATATTACATACAAGTAATATGTATAACATCTAAATACCGTTAAATAAAATCACATTCCTTTATGTAAAAAAAAAACAAAAATAGAAATAAAATGTACTGTAGATAAAGTCTACGTAAAGAAAACAATATAAAGCCAACAAAAATCCATAGTTCACTAAATACTTATCTACAATATCATTTATTGCTAACAAACGCTAAAACTAACCTCACAAGGAACAACTTTTTCTATGCGACACCAAACTATTTTACACTTCTTACATTTAAGCAGCGAATCGAAAGAAAAGTGTTATTTACAAACTGAACAGTAGACAAACCAATTTGATGATTAAATTTGTGCAGAATTTCCAACCGTTTCGCTTCCCTCCCTATTACTAGATATGTTAGAAAACTCCAAAATCACACCTTCGTTAGTAACCCTCGGAAAAACCTTATTGTCGCTCATTACACGAAAAAAAATGCTCGCATCTTAAAAACCGTTCCAAACAGACCTTCAGCTGCATTTATTGGAATCACGCCCCAACAAAAATAAAACAGATTCATTTGAATTCGATTTTTCCTAAAAATTACTCTAGTTTTGAACTAATCGAAAAAATCTGGTACAAACCGAACCCAACACTGCTTCCTGTCCCGACCCCCAGTCTTTGACTCCCCATGTACGTAGCGTTCCATATTTTCAGGTCACATCTTTGCGTAACAAAAAAAATTACAGATCCTCTAAATGGCACACAGAAAACGAAAGAGATTCAAGTAAAACAACACAATAATGTATAATATAGTTAGTCAAATGTTACAAACGAAGACGCTAGATGGCGCCGCTGCCGTAAAATCCCTCCCAGTGACGGAGGTTTTGAGAGTCGCCACCTAGCGGTTTCGTTTGTAACTTCAACTGGTATATTATGTATAAACGAGGTAATAGTGACACCCGAACACCCCACGGGACACGTCGTGTCTTCATTGCTTTAAAAAAACACCCAGCGATAAAAAAATCGGTGCGCGGACACTAAGTTTGACAAAATGTAATAGCAAGACGCCTACAAGCCGACACCTCTCGACATATATATATTTATCAACTGTACACTGAACTCCTCTAAAAATAATTATTTAATATTTATTTATATATGTGTATATACTTCAACATTATCCATTGTGGCTCTGTATATATCTTACAAAGGATGAAAAACGAATTAGCCTCTCGGGAAATGAAACCGATACTTTTTTGACGTCCAATTTTTTTTTTTTTTTGGGTTAATACTATTATGTTGCTAAGTACAGGTTACATAAAATACCATCCTTAAGACTTAGTGTGGGTCATCCTGTCGTTGACCCAGGTCGCGGCCCACGGTACTGTCTTCGTCGAATTTAGAATTGGACTTGTTAATACGCCGGAGCCTGAAAGTCCGTGGGACCTGCGGAAAAAAGAACGTTTTTCACAGGGTCTCGATGCGGTACTGAAAATAACGTTTACCTCTCTGATTCGGACCGGCGGAGAAGGGCGGCTCCTGGTATTGCTGGTCGGTGTCCGGGCCCCCGGGGTACGAAGGGTAGGACGTCGGCATGTTCGCGTCCGACTCGTAGTTGGTGGCGAAAGCGGCGTCTGCGCCTTGACGGAAACGTTGGAATGCGAAAAATGCGGTGACGGCCTTAAACGGAACAGTCATTAAATACCCTTGGATAAATACGGGGTCTTCTACGGGGAGGTACACAAATTTACAGCCTAGGGTTAGGGGAAGTTAATAAAAAACTACGTTTTCTTTAAACTTTTCAAAAACTACTGGACCGATTTTAAAAAAACTTGGCACGTTTTTGGTAATAAGGGACTCAATTTGGCATAAGCAAATTTAAAAAAAAAAACACTGGAATGAAAAATTAAGCTGCGAGACATACATCAGAATAAAACTTCACATAACAGTACAAAATTATAGAGGTTAGGCTTACCCACGAGAATATGGAGAAGAACGAGAAGGCGATAGCAGCTTGTACGTTGCTCACACCAACCCCGTTGTCTGGCGATGTTGACTGTCCCCACTGGCTGGCCAAATACCAGAAGCATACGAAGTACAGGAACGACCAAAATGCTAGAAAAAAACTAATAAGATTCGGGATCTGTCAATAAAAAACGTCAACTCGTCTCACCCGAGAAAGCTAAATCGACCAGCACGAAATGCTTTCTTGTCTTAACGGACGACATCTGCTCGAACAAGTACTCTCCCACTATGAAGGCCATGGTGGCGAGGAAAGCTATAACGCTAATTCCGACGCCGTAATTGCAAGCGTCTCGGTCCTCGTTATATAAACACACCTGCTTTCCTTTTACTTCGTCGTATCGCCACCCTTGGGACGATATGCAACCAAAAATGATTATCGAAAAGAACTAGAACCAAAACCAATAATAAGGTTTTATTTACCATTTTTTTTTTTTAAATAAATAACACCAAAAAGGGTTACTTTTAAAAATTTGACAAGGAGATTGGCTATTATTTAATCCCGATCAAAATACGGCATTTATAGTTTGACAATTATAACTTAAAAATAGTGTAGCATACAAATAAATGTAATAAGAAAGAATAATACCGAAGGTTATGAGTAGTCATTGATTTTCTAAACTTCTTGATTTCATTCAAGGTCAATACGTTAATAAGACATTTAATCAATGTGGTCAAATGTAATTACATATTTTCTTGAAATATTATGTCGAAAAGCAAGGATTACGTTTGTTATGTTTTAATTAGAATGAATATCAAAAGTTTTATGTTAACAAAAAGATTACATTGGAAAGATAAACATACTTTTTCACACTGTAGCAGCAAAAAACCTATTGCAACTGTAAATATACTTCCAATAAATATTTATACATAATTTAGATAAGCTAGGGGTTACCTATATACCTATATCTAGAATTTGAGTTACTAATATTATTGAAAGGTAAGGCTTAATTGCTATTTATCACATAGATAATAAAGTTAGAAATAAACAATACAAGGCTCTTATATAAACTTGCCGTACCAGCATTATTGGTAAGCAAATTTGCAAACATTTGAGATGGTTTTACAAACAAATTAAGCTTTGACTGCCTGCTTAAAATTACGAAAAATTATATTCGAAAATACTTAGATATAAAGCGTAACATTCTTTGTTTGAAAAAATAACAACAACCTTCCCTCGAAATGCTCTACATTTTCATATTAAATTTAGAGCGATGGAATGGTCTGAAAGAAAATTACATATCGAAACCAAAACCCACGTCTCATTCATTCCCTCCGAAAGCACTACTACAGGTTTTCATTCATTTTTGCAATGACCCATATCAAAATTCAAATAATCAATAACATATGACACACCCCCCTCCTAAAAGGTGGTCTGTCAAATCGATTATTTAAAAAAATAGTGAAACTACGGGGTACTAGTGGAAATATCAAGTCCTATTTAAAATATAATATTCCAACTTACCCATGACACTGCCCTGACTATAACTTGGGGCCTTTGGATGAAACCAATGGGATCAAAAACTCCCCCGGCTTTGCCACCACCGTAAGCTCCAGCACCCTCCATGTTTTGATATACTACTGAGCTGGTCGTGTGGCGCCTGTGTTCATAGAAAGACGAATTTAATTTCCGAATAAATTATACGTTAAAGAAAAAGACACTATATAAATTTATTCTATTAAATAGACTAAATGAAACGTTCTCTTTATGCGTATTCTAAACTGTGCGATAAAAATAAATAGAGTTAATAACATGAACGGAAGAGGAAATTTAAATAGTTACCTACATACACAACGGAATTTAAATATTTAGTTTAGGACATTCCAATCTTTCTTATTCCATCCGGAATTTAATTTTATGAAGGTACATATTAGCAAATTAAATTGAAAAAATTATTATTTTGAATACCTATTAGATTGATATTTCAAATAGGCTTCGTTTTTTCAAACAAAATTGTAGCATTGAATTTAGCTGTACGGAATCTATACGATCTGAAGTAAAAACTATATTCATCCTTATTTTACCCCTTTAATAACCAACACAAGACAATGATACCTACGTCTAACTTCTTTTTTTCTGAAGATGTTTTAGGCATGTATATCTTGTAGGCACTTGAAATTCAAGTAACTATTTAAAAAATTTATACAAGGAAATATTTAATAATAAGTATTATCCACTGTAATGAATCAAAGAAATTAAATGTAGATTCATGTTTCCATTCATATCCGGCCTTAGCTTTATACTACGTCCCCTAGATGGCAGGGACCAAAAATGTGTACAAAATTCTTTACATGATATCCCTTGCATTCTAGAATAGATGTTAATAAACTGTGCCTCGTATTGTTATTTGTACATACAAATAATGTTTTTATGTTGTATATTATAATTACCCTCCCAAATATTTTGCACTTTTCATATATTGTCCCTGCCATCTAGGAGCATAGTCTAGAACTAGTAATTAATGTTGGTGGTCTATATATTTATATTCTCTTTCTTGGATGGTACTGTCATCTCTCATTCTCTTTCTGCACTATTTGCGAATCATGACGCAGTAGCGTAACAATTTTGCTTTATATTTTCCATACATTTTAAAATGTTACTTTAATTTTAGCACCTAAGACGGTAGATATCATTTATTGAAACACTGTTATACGTACGGTCTTTATTTGCGAAACAAAAGACAGCTATGATAATTCCCAGAAAAGTTGCCTTGTTGCTACCCGAAGACGCCAGCCAATCACGAGTCTTGAATAGAACACACAACAATCCGCCTATTGTTGTTGCTTCCAACGTTGCTATTTACCACAAATTGGGCACTAGGAAGTGGTAAATTTGCTACTAATTATTATGTTTTGCGGTGGGCGATTTTTTAATCGATATGCCAGAAATTAACAACACAAAATGGACGGGGAAATATGTCAAGTTACAAAAAATTTCGAAGAAAAGGCCTAAATATGTCGTGTCCTAAGGAACAACAGAACAGGAATAAACCAACAAAGTAAGTAGGTAGGTACTTTAAAATTATTATAATTTAAATATTAATGAAATCAACTGCACATAGGAAGGCTAATAGGAATATTCCTGTAGAAGAGTTCTAATGCATAGTAAATTTGGCAGAAATTAACTGTTTTTAATAGGTATTTGATACTTGGCTTTCTTTCCAATAGTGCAACTAACAGAGAAACTTATTTTTATGTAAAAATGTAAACTTGTTGGCTTGAATGATTTTTTAGTGTTGAAATAAGTGATATGTGAATGAAAAATGCTTGCAACACTGGTTACATACCTACATCATGGATTGCCATTGTGAGCGCGTTATTTGAATTCATCTCGTGTTTTCTTCAATAACTTTGAAATTTTAATTGCAAATTGTTCGATTTAGGTGACTGACTGATTGTGCATCCGCTGTATAACTAATTGTGTGTAAACAACAATGCTTTAAGACGTAGCGTCGTCTTTAGAGATTAATGAAAATTGTTTTCACTAACCGACTTGTTTACTGAAGCTGTTTTGATTTTTCGATTTTCTCTTTTTACTCACGACCTGATACTTTAATTGACAACAGTTAGGTTTTATTCAGAATCAGGGGAAATTCAAAATTCAGTCGATTTGCTTTATAATAAGCATCTTCATCTACATATTTTGTATTTTGTAAATGTAGAATCCTATTTTCAGTTTGTGATGTAAATGGAATAGGTATGTTCCATATCCAATTAATTTCATCCAATAGTCGTTTATTTGCTATTTAAACATTAAACTTTTTTTTAATTATTGAACGTAATTATGGGATAATGAAAAACATTTTTCTCCGAAGTCGACCACGTCTGGTAAAATTCCATTTAAGTTCGCCGCTACTATAAAAACAGGATCTTGACCTGGTTAACAACGACCGTGTAAGATAAACCGAGAACATATTAATTTAATTCAAATTTATCTTATTTGCGCTCGCTAATGTGTCAGGCAATTACACACTTATCTCAATTCTACATTTTTTGTTTACATTATTTTCCTAATGGAGTTATTTTTAGTGAGAGAGAAACACTTATTATTTTAGCCTCGGGGCGTAACTTTAATATCGCTTTTTGTATGACGTACGTTTAAATAAGCTTAACGCCGTTATATTTAAAATAATCGCGCCTCGTAATGTTTTTGAGAAGAGTTTAATCTAATTTATAGAATGGGTTCTGGGAATTCGGGCGATAGTTCGGTTTTTATCGGGCGTTTCCCAACAAAAGAACTTTGTAATCGAATCGAAGCAGGCACGGTCTCATTTTTATTTCACAAGAGATCGAGATAGCCGGGGCTTTGTTTTGTTCTGGGACTGAAACAACAGAACGTCAACGGCGTTGGTGTCACTGAACTGTCATTTGGAAAGTAATTCTCACAATCTGAAAGAGCAAGCACGAGGAACTGAACAAATAGACTTACTAATAAACTCTTCGTGAAAGAACCAAATTAATTGCTTCGTTTGTTAATGGGTTCGGACAACAACGGCTTGCGCAAACAGAACGTAGTTTTAAAACAAATATCAAAGTTGTTTTGCTTATACGACCAATAACCGTCTTTCTAAAATTAACTGATGAATGCAGCAAACATTTTCTTTACGGTCAAAGGAAACTATGCCACTGTAATTTTTCCCTAAGAAAATCTCTAATCTAAATTTTTAATTTTTTAAACAAAAAAATATACGACAACAGTTGTCCATGTCTTTGAAATGATGAACAAATTATGAAATGGAGGGCTCAAATTCCCTGCTGTAAAAGATATAGCAGGATGTATTTTTTAAGGCAATTTGCTTTAGAAAATACACACTTTTTATAGCTCTTTAGTTGTATTATCCCTGTTATAAAAGATAAATTTAATTTTTTTTATTACGCTTTAACAACTAGTTTTTAACAACAATTTTTTGGTAGTCTTTTTTCTGGTTTATGTCTTTGAATGAAAGAAATTAGCACCCCTTGGTTTTATTTTTCTCACAACTTTTTTCTACGTTAGCCAATTCCAACAAGAAAAATAGCTTTTAATACTACATTTCATTTACTAACTTTTTTTACTATTCCAATTTTTTCGTATACTTAATGGTTTACGAGCAAAAAAATAAATAATTTTTCCTTGCCGATTAGGTATACATATAGACCAGTGCTTAAGCCTTCAAAAATGGTAAAATTGAAAAAAAATTATAGTAGGATGAAACCCATTGGAAAAGGAAGAGATATAACAGAAATGAAAAGAAAAATAATTTACGGGCGATCTTAGGTCGGGAAGGGGAAGGGGGTGAGTTTTTAAGGGTAAAAAACGCTTTATCTTGATTTTCGGAAAAACTACAAGTCTTATGGAAAAAAGTTAAATAGCAAAGTTGTAGGTAATAAAAAGATCTACAACTTTTGTATTTACACTTTTTTCACATAACCTCAAAATTTATGTGAAAAATTCAAATAACCAAATTTTTGGTTTTTTATTTTTATCTTTTACAAACAA